GGGAGATAATCCGCATGTGAAAACCCTAGTTGGAATCGTGTGGGGAGCTTGGGAAAATGAAGGAAATGGAGGATTCACAATTTGGGGGGATTTAAATATGTGAGTAAGGTTCTAGGCTTCTGCGCTTGCAAAACCTAGGGCTTTAGGTTCTCAAAGCTTTTACTAGAGTACGCTACCTGAAGCAAAATATTTTTTAGCAATCATAAGACCCCCTTTACGCTTGCAATGCCTTCTAGAGACCACTCTCTTCTTCCCCACTCCCTTCTGCGATTGCACATACTTCCTTGCGATCACAGAGTTTGGTTAAATGGCCATAACTTCTTATAGGAAAGTTCAAATAACAAACGATTTAACATTAGAAACTAGACTTTCACAGGCTACAATTTCTTTCAGAAACCATGTCCAAATTCTTCCTACATTGAGAGTTGTACTCATTTGAAGTCAGGCCTTGTTTTACCAACTCTTCTTGTTCTCAAAGTCCTCGTTTGACTCCCAAACAACTTTATTTCAATCCCAGCCTCCTCAAACACACACTTGAGCATTCCACACATCAAAACAAGTTTTTTTTCCACCTCCCTAACACTGATTTGAGCAGTGTGGGACATAGGATCAAATTATGACTTAAGCGAAATAAAATTCTGGGCATTCCTGGCACTGTCTAGTGCAGTTGGTCACGACAGGCTTCTCTCCTCGGTTGAAGTACTACTCCAGGCACCCTTCAAGTTGGTCATAATTGGCACCAATCTGGGTCCAAGGCACACCGTGGGCTCTCTATGTTTGGTCCCAAGCCACAGTCCCAAGTCATGGTTTCCGTGTTGATCAACCTACTTCAATATCAGGTTCAACTGTGTAATCACCTCATTTACGTTGAATGTCATTCGCGTATATGATTTTAGGTATCCCAAATTTTGCAATAAGTCTTACAAGATGGAAAAAGATTGAGTTCCAAGTCAGAAGCCGCGAACAATTGAAGAAACAAAGTTGTGCATATATTGTAATCTGACTTGTCCAATCAGAAGCCGCATCATCAGTATAGTTTTTTTAGCAGGGTCATTAATACACTTGACCTATGATCCATAATTGCACAGAAGTCATCCAGGGAGCATAGTTAATATTCCCTCCGTTTCAATTTAGATGAGGTAGTTTGACTCGGCACGGAGTTTAAGAAAAAATGTAGACTTTTGAAACTTGTGGTCTTAAAAACTTAAGGGGTAAAAGCTTTGTGGGGCCATGACATGTGTGTGGTTATAAAAGCTTCTCATTAAGGATAAAATGGGTATAATGAAGAGTTTAAAGTTGAATTATTTCCAATTATAGAAATATGTCATTCATTTTGGAACGGACTAATAAGGAAAGTGTCATCTAAATTGAAACAGAGAGAGTAACTTAATATTGTCTTCTAAATTACAGTAGCGATTATAGGAGAAGAAGAAGAGAGAGATTTTCCAAAATTGAATTTGCTATCGTCATTTCCTTTAAAATAAGAATTATTGAAAAAGGAAACTTAGATAAAAGCTGAAGAAAATAACAGACATTAGCCTGCTAGAGCAGGAAACAGAGTGACCTTAGCACCAAGATGATGGGAAGATTAAGGAACAAAGAAACAACAAGAAGTGGAAAAGAAGGTTCAATAACTGAAGCATTAAAAAGAAAAAAAGAGAGAAGGTGGTGAATAGAGGAACGTAATCCAAGAAGGTGTTTAACTGATGTTTTGAGAGTCTTAAGGATGACAGTTCTCTGGAATGACAGAGGAGCCTATTCGAGTCTGGTTAAGTGATAGCTAGCAAGAGAGGTCGTTGAAGTTGGTGGCACTTGACAGAGTTTCCATCACTAGCAAAGTGGTTGAGTTGGCTCGTGTGGTACACACGTGCTTGTTCAGACAATTAGACTGTTGCTATTTGAGTCACTGGCATTTGGGTTTCTGTTGGTTGGGAGGTGAGACTCGAAATTTTGCCGGTAATTACTAATTAAAGCATCATATTTTGCTTCTTCACAAATCTCTGATCTGTATCAAATGTATTTTGAATGAAAAGGAAGTTCAATGATGGACAAACACCCTGTCCCTGATACCATTTTAAAAGAGAAGAAAAAGAATAAGAGGTTTTAGGTGAGTGAATTGTTTCATTGTTCCCTCCAGCTATTGAGGATTAAATAGTGTCTATAAGTGCTGGAAAACCAATATTTTATCCCTAAAAATTTCCTAATGATGTATTTACAGGGTTTAGAAATTTGGCCTCCTTATTTACATTATAGAGATTTTTTCCATATTTACATTATTAACAGAATCATGAAAGTACGTAGCTTTGGAGCTAAGTAGTTAAACCATGTAGTTAAAAGAAGAGTTATAAAGTTACAACTTGAAGCTAAAATAACAATCCAATAATGAGGAGAGCTTCTTTTCCTCTTTTTCTCCGGATGATATAATGAGTTTTATTCAAGGAATGAAGAGAAAACCTTGTAGAAGCATACATTAAAGGAAACATTCGTATAGGAATGAATCTACAATCAAATCCCAATCATTTATATATTGTGAATACCATACGTACACTAAATTCAACAACAAAGAAGACAACCATCTTTACTAGGATATGACTCTCCTCTCCTTCAAACACACGATGGTTCCTATCATGTCATACCGTCCGTATGATCTCTATTTCCCCTGCTTGTGCTCCTAAATTTTAAATGTCCCAGCAATGTCTTAAAAATATTAGGCATTATATAATTCACTCCAATAAACTTCATATTTAAACCTCACTGTTTTGTAGGTAATAGGAGGTGATCCACATATTCCCTTATCCTTTTGCACATAAAGAATCACTTGTTCGGAATCTTTTTTGCTTCATTAAGAGTGGAACTTCTGTTATTGATTAAGGAAATAGAGCAGGTTGATCATAGCTAGTTCACATTGTCCATCTAGAAAGTAAGAGAGATAATACTAGCAGAAAGAAAGAGAAAACTTACCGCGAGAAATGAATTGAAGGGCTTCAGTTTATGCCAAAACAAATTTGCACTAGTAGATCCTGCATTTCTGATGGATTTCAGAGCGGCAAACAACTAGTGGTTTTTAGTTTGCAGGCCAAATAACGTAGGCCGGCCCTCTCTTTCCCACAATGGTTTGCCTTGTCATCAAGTATCGGAAGGCTAAATGAGAAGTAAAGAAGTCAATTATCTTTATATATATGCTTCAGTTCCACTAATAAAATAAAGTTTATATTGGCAGAGGTGGAAAATTTTAAAAGAGGAAAGTGAAATTGGGGTTGTGGAGGCTGTTTCTAAGATTAATGGAAGGAATAAACTATTTGAAACCTTTAAGAGAAGTAGTATTGTTAGCCAATTGGACAAGTTATTTACATATTATTTTGCGAGAGGAAAGTTAATGCGGCTGGTTTGGTTGTGCAATCTGCTCAGCCAAACTGGCCCCATTTTTTTCTTTTGGATTGGGATGGGGGATTGAATAACTTAGACCTCTGCTTACCCTCTAGTTTAGTGACACTATACGTACAGTCAAGAGATGTCTGAACCTCAGCTCTCCAAGGTGGGGATTGAAAATATCTGATTGTTTTATTATTTAACCAAATAGCTCCTCCCATCTCTTCTTGGTGTCTACATCCTTGTGGCTCGGAAAGTACCTTAGTTCACTGATAACTTCGAAGAGCTCAATTTTAGAAGCTACAATTGGATCTTCATCGTCATGTCTTCATGTCTTTAATTTCAGACATAAAGACTATCTCCCAACTTGAAACTTCAGCTTAAGGTTTCAAATGTAATGTGTCATGCCTTCATCAGTAATTGGAGCTCATTTCTCTTGGGAAAGCTAAACTCTTTGATGGCATTGAGTTCCCAATTGGAATTTTCACTGGTCAGTAGATATACTCTTATCTGGGCGAGAGTGACCGGTTGGAAAATGGCGTAGGGGAGTGACAAGTAGTTGGGGGAGGAGTGGATAAGGGCCTGGGAACGGAACAGGTGAAGGTGGAAAGAGGGGTGACCGGCTGGGGGATTGGGGAAGGTGAAAAGGAACAGCTCGTATGTGGTTTCTAATAGGTTGATATTATTGTCTCAATCTTTAAGCCTGGTTTCTTCTTTCCTTGTTTCCTCTTTTTACCCTTTGGTCTCTTTGGAGAATATCAGTGACTAGTGGGTTAAATAGGATATAATTGGCATTTGTTCCTAACATCACCGCTAATGACATTTTTAACATTGGAAGTTAGTGACTGGTGAGGTTCCTATAATGAAAGTTAGAGGGGAAGGTGTTAAGTATTTTTTAAATTTGGGGGAGATCTATTTAGTTGCACTAAACTACAGGAAATCGAAATAGTAGGTCATTTCTTTTTTCCTCGCTTTTCTGGTTTTTATTTGATTCATTTGAAGCATATAATCTGAATAAGAGAATCTACAAAGTAAATAGAGTTGCAAGGACAATTAAGCTCCTTGGTGAGACGTCAATTGGACATCTGATAACAGGTTTACCATCAAGAGTCAATTGAAGGACCATAAAACATTTTTGCATAGAACTATAAAACTAATGAGATAGTGTTGATACACAAAGAGAACTATAGACCCATATTTCTGAAATATATAAATGCTGCTGTGCTGCTTCAGTTTAGGTTTAATTGTGATGAAACATCTATGTCAGAGGGTAAAATCTATGCCTCTTTTAAAAAAAATTGATCGTTTCTCCTGCACAATTGAAAATATTATTAAGCTACTTCACATGGCAGTTTCAGCACCTTGTGTACCACCTTATTGTCTTTCCATAGAGACACCCAGCTCCTAGTACTCGTTTTACCTTGATAGGTATACCACATTATGAGGATTTACATTTTCCAACGGTTTGTAGTTTAGATAGTTATTGGATAGAATCTTCTGATGATTCAGCTATGCAATTCCAATGATGTAATAATCTGATTGCTCCTCTTTTCATGTTGAACTACTCCTATTACCATTCTGTCAAGGAACTAGTCTGTAGGCTGATATTTTGGTTTCATAATCTGGTCCAGTTAGAAAAGGAGGCTGTTATAAAGGGAGTCCCAATAAGTCAAGCACTCGACATTGAAATTCCTCCTCCACGGCCTAAAAGGAAACCAAGTAATCCTTATCCTCGTAAGACCAGCGTAGCAGTTCCCTCATCACAGGTGGGAATAAAAGATGGAAAATTATCAACACCTTTTTCTTCCATCTGTGAAGATAGGAACTTATTTGACCTGGAGAAAGAACCGATTGCTGAGGTATGGGTTTCTCTTCATCTTACATAGCTTTTACTTTGTTTTCTTTGATGGCATAGTTGTATTCTTGTTCTTTACAGAAACCTGGTCGAAACGAGAAGCTGGGCAGTGTACAAGAAAACCAGAACAAGAAAAATTGCTGCCAAGGGTTCACTCTTTTCAAGGAAGGTGCTTCTGCCCCCTCCCTATCCTTAGGGAAGTCTTTGCAAACACTTGCAGAACCTGCAGGATCATGCACTTTAAATGAGTCTGTGCCTGCCACTAAAGGAGTGATTAACCATAATGTAACAGCTAAATCTTTTCTTACTGTTGAATCCAAAGAGCATCAAAAGTTGGATATACTCAACGCTAAACAGTCCTTTCAAAGTAACAGCTCTTGTAACACCTTCGACGGGGGGAAATCTTGCCAATCGAATGAGAAGTTGGCACAAGATGAGAAAAAAGATCAACCGAGTCAGCCAGATCATTTTGGGGAATTCTCAAGAAATGATATGCAAGTGCCACACAACTATCCAAGACATGTCCCGGTGCATATTCTTGATGGGGCCTTAGGGGTGAATGGTGCTCAAACAACCCCAGATATGTTTTATCCTGAATCTGTAAGTCACCAGATAGGTGGCGTCCAGGGACTCTCAAATTTGTATACCAACCCTACTTCATCTGCCACATCTGAGCACCATAGTAATGCTGCAATGTCTTCCATTCGTCAGTCATTTCCTTGTTTCCACCCTAACTTCACCCCTATTCGTGATCCAGATGATTACCGATCGTTTCTTCAACTCTCCTCCACTTTCTCCAGCCTTATATTTTCTGCGTTATTGCAAAACCCAGCAGCACATGCTGCAGCAAGTTTTGCAGCTAGCTATTGGCCTTACGCAAATATGGAAGCTCCAGTAGATTCTCCAACAGGTAACACTGCAAGCCAGATTAATTCAGCTCCTAGTATGGCAGCAATTGCTGCCGCCACTGTAGCAGCTGCAACTGCATGGTGGGCAGCCCATGGGCTCCTACCATTGTGTTCGCCATTTCATAGCAGTTCTACCTGTGTTCCTACATCTGCAACATCAATGCAAATGGATCCCTGTCAACCTAGTGTAGAGAAGAATGAAGGAAGAGAGGGATCTCATAATTCTCCCCATGCTCAACAAGCCGTCCCGGATTGCTCTGAAGCTTTGCACGAACAACATTCTGCTTCTGAGTTGCCAACTTCGCCATCGTCAGAATCGGAGGAGAGTGAAGGTAGGAAGCTAAAAACTGGGTTAACCGCTGATAATACTGAGCAAGGAGCTGCAGTCACTGAAATTCATGAGCCAAACACTGGAAAGGGAAGAAAACAGGTAGACCGTTCTTCCTGTGGTTCCAACACACCATCAAGTAGTGATTTGGAGACAGATGCTTTGGAGAAGGATCAGAAAGGTAAAGAAGAGCCTCAAGAACCTAATGTTAACCTTCTAGCTGGAGATGCTGGGAATCGGCGTGGTAGGAATTGCATCAGTCCAAATGATTCTTGGAAAGAAGTCTCCGAAGGGGTAATGAGAGCTTATGTTTTTTATAAGTCCTTTGGTGTCATTTCTTGCTTTAATGATTGTTGATTCTCACCTTTTCCACAGGGACGGATAGCGTTCCAGGCTCTTTTCACCAGAGAGAAGTTGCCTCAAAGCTTTTCTCCTTCAAATGATCCGAAAAATAAGGGAACAATCAATCTTGAAAACGTTAAGCAAAAGCCAGACGAGAAAGGTCTAAGTGGATCGCAGTTAGACCTTAATGATCAGGCATCCGACATCTGTTCCAGTCATCAAGCAGTGGAAGATAATGTGTTAGTAATTGGCAACAAAGAAGATGCTGAAAAATGCCTACCAATGATGGAACTTGGACAAGGAAGGTTGAAAGCTCGTCGTACTGGATTTAAACCTTACAAAAGGTGCTCATTGGAGGCCAAAGATAGCAGGGTGGCAAGTTCAAGCTGTCAGGACGAGGAAAAAAGCGCCAAGAGACTTCGCTTGGAAGGAGAAGCTTCTATTTGATGCGTCAATGCAATTTTACGAGGGAACCTCTCTTGTTGCATGGAGTGCGCTATCTGTCCTGTGATTATATTTTTCCAGTTATGTTACCTAGTTCTAATGTGCACGAAACTTGTCGTGTAGGTGTGTACCATATACTTTATGTGCTATTTTAATTGAGAGTTATGCAAAGTAACCTTAAAGAACGAACAATGATAGCAAAATGAATGGACCTTGATTGGACCAGTTTCTCTGCAGAAGAATTAACGCGTGATTCCTCACATTAACATATTGCATGGGTTTGGGGGATAATTGGCTTTTCCAATTGTTCTTCTCGTCTTCTCTTTCAAATCAACAACTCCATTTTTCTATTGTAGAATGTAAGCATAAACTTTAATTCATACCAGGATCTTGAACATGATAATCTTACATGTAATCGTCATAGAAAACATACCTGAAGCGGAATCCATTATCTTGGAGCGGAAGCGTTAATCGGTAAATTGGTTTCTCGCCCCTTGCCCTAATGGGTGGGGAGAGGACCAATTTATAGAGGTTTTTATTTAATCCGGTACATCCATCAAGTAACCGATCGGACGGATGAGATTTGCTCATTAATTAAATATTAAATATTAATTATGGGCCTAATCTTATTGGGCTATATATACACGTAGGAAATAACTTACATTCTTCCACTTGGCCCAATAATCACATAATATTAATATTTAATATAGGAACATTAGTTGCGCAAAAATAAATCTCTTCTATAATGTCCATCATAAATACCATAATACGATAAACTACTAAATGTGAGTTATGGCGGTTATATATAATTTGTCTACATAGTCCCTTCCATATACTACAACATTAGCAACTCATCGCACTACGTCCATAAGCTATAAAATATTATGGTCCACAATAATGTCTCATTGAGACTTATCCTGTAACATCTCAAAACAATAATGTGTACACCATTATGAGAAACAGGAAATCACTAATGTATATCAGAAATACATAAATGAGCTCAGAGTGTCAAAACATCATAAATACATCAATCATAAATACAGCCAAGACCCATTCTATGTACATGTTCTTTAAATATCTTTGGCTGTAAACTTTTCGTTAACGGATCTGCAATCATGAGATCTTTTCTAATATGCTCAAGTGACACTCTTTGTTTCTGAAATTCCTCTTTGACGGTAAAGTACTTTAATTCCATATGCTTGGCACCTTTGGAGTACTTATCGTTCTTGGAGAAGAATACTGCTGCAGAATTATCACAGTAAATTTTCAGCGGCTTGGTAATGGTGTCGACAACCCCAAGTCCTGAAATAAAGTTTCGCAGCCACAAATGCATGAATTGTGGCTTCAAAACATGCCACAAATTCTGCTTCCATCGTGGATGTAGCAATGACAGACTGTTTGGCACTCTTCCACGATATTGCTCCTTCAACTAATTGGAACAAATAACCAAACATGAATTTTCTAGTGTCAATACATCCAACGAAATCTGAATCCGAGTATCCAACAACTTCCAAATGCTTAGATCTCCTATACATGAGCATGTAATCCTTCGTTCCTTTCAGGTACCTCAAAACTTTCTTTGTAGCTTTCCGATGATCAATTCCTGGGTTACTCTGATATCTTCCCAACATTCTGACCGCAAAACTAATATCCGGTCTTGTGCAAGTCTGAGCATACATCAGACTACCAACAATAGAAGAGTAAGGAATTGATTCCATTTCTTTTCGCTCTACATCATTCTTAGGGCATTGCATGAGACTAAATTTGTCCCCTTTTTGAATTGGAACAATTCCTGCTGAACAATTGTTCATACTAAATCTCTCTAGAACTCTTTCGATATAGCCTTTCTGAGACAATCCCAATAATCCTTGTGATCTATCACGGAATATCTCTATTCCTATCACATAAGATGCCTCACCCGTATCCTTCATTTCAAAATTCTTAGAGAGAAAATCTTTAGTCTCACGCAATATGCCTAAATCATTAGTAGCAAGTAGAATATCATCAACATATAGGACTAAAAATATAAACTTGCTCCCACTGATCTTTTGGTATATACACCAATCAACGGTATTTTCCACAAATCCAAAAGATGTTATGGTATCATTAAACTTTATATACCATTGTCGTGAGGCTTGTTTAAGTCCATATATTGACTTCTTCAGCTTACACACCATTTGACCTTTTTCTTTAATTTGGAAACCCTCTGGTTGGTCCGTATAGACTTCCTCCTCGAGATCTCCATTAAGAAAGGCAGTTTTCACATCCATTTGGTGTAACTCTAAATCATAATGAGCCACCAAAGCCATAATAATTCTTAACGAGTCTTTCTTTGAGACCGGTGAAAAAGTCTCTTTATAATCAATGCCTCCTTTATGAGTATAACCCTTGGCAACAAGTCTGGCTTTGTATCTCTCAATATTGCCATTTGAATCGCGTTTGGTCTTAAAGACCCATCTACACCCGATTCTTTTAGAACTTTCTGGCAATTCAACAAGATCCCAGACTTTATTGTATTCCATGGATTTTAAGTCTTCCTTCATGGCATCAATCCATTTGTCAGACTCATTACTTTCTATGGCTTGTGAAAATGAAACCGGATCCTTATTAAGACCAATATCAAAATCTGACTCCTGCAAATAAACCACGTAATCATCCGAAATAGCCGATTTTCTAACTCTTTGCAATTTTCTTAATGGCATTTCTTGTGGTTCATTTGTGTCAGATATTTGTGAGTTAGTTTCTTCATGAAGTGTTTCATCCAAATGTTGCTCAGTGTTGTCAAAGTGTTCTTCAACAACTGGAACAATATTTGGGATTTGTGTGGAAGTAGGCACATTTCTGGGTAATATAATATTGACCCTCACCTCTTTAATTTCCACATTTTGCTTTTCAACACTCCCACTAACTTCACCATTCTCAATGAATCTTGCATTACCGGTTTCAACAATTCTCGAACTATGGTTTGGACAGTAAAACACATACCCTTTAGATTTCTCTGGGTAACCAATAAAGTAACCACTTACTGTTCGAGAATCTAATTTCTTTTCTTGTGGAGTATAAACTCTAGCTTCCGCTGGGCAACCCCAAACATGCAGGTGCCTTAAACTAGGTTTCCTTCCTGTCCACAGTTCAAAAGGGGTCTTTGGAACTGCCTTACTAGGAACCCTGTTTAATAAATATACAACGGTTTTAAGAGCATACATCCACAATGATTTGGGTAATGAGGAATTACTTATCATGCTCCTAACCATTTCCATAAGTGTTCGATTACGCCTTTCTGCAACACCATTTTGTTGAGGTGTTCCTGGCATAGTGTACTGTGCACATATGCCACGTTCCTTGAGGAACTTTGCAGATGGACCTGGACATTGTCCTGATTCATTATATTTTTCATAGTATTCACCACCTCTATCTGACCTAATGATTTTCACCTTTGTATCTAATTGCCTTTCAACCTCATTAACAAACACCTTGAGAGCATCTGCTGCTTGAGATTTTTCTTTCAGCAAATAGATGTATCCATAATGTGAAAAATCATCGATAAAAGTGATAAAATATTTCTCTCCACCAAAAGATGGAACATCAAAAGGTCCACAAATATCGGTGTGTATAATTTCAAGAAGCTGGGTGCTTCTTGTGGCACCTTTCTTACTATGCTTGGTTTGCTTTCCCTTAATGCAATCCAAACATATAGTAAGATTAGTAAAATTTAGATTCGGAAGAATCTCATTCTTTACTAATCTTTCTAACCTTTCTTTGGATATATGTCCCAAACGTCTATGCCACAAGTAAGCAGAACTTTCATCTAGTGAACTACGTTAAATTCCAACATTATGTTGAACAGTAAGAAGGGATTCAGAAAAACCAATATCGAGTTTCAATTTATATAAACCATTACTAGAAAACCAGAACAATAAAAAATAGCATTCTTATATAAATTGAAACATCCGTTTCCAAACTTTAAATCAAATCCAGAAACATCAAGTCTTGAAAAAGAAATCAAATTCCTAGAAATTGAAGGTACATAAAGAGTCGGTAATAGATCAAGGTGACGTCCAGTCTCCATGATCAAACGATAAGTACCTATGCCTTCAATTGGAGCCTTCATACGATTTCCCATGAACAAGAAATCCTTATTTGGATTTGTAGTTTGGATCGTAAGGAATCCCTGCAACGTAGTAGATACATGAGCAGTTGCACCAGAATCAAGCCACCAAGTATTATTAGGAACTTCTACTAAATTTGATTCGAAACATACAAAAGCACTAATTGTACCTTTCTTTTCGAACTAAGCTTTATGTTTCAGGCAATCTTTCTGATAATGTCCTTCCTTATTACAGAAACAACACGTATCTGCCTTATGTTCCTTGTTAGCATCCTATTGAGCTTTAGCAGGTGCTTTCTTCTTCTTGAACTTGTTGGCATTCACTTTAAGTCCTTTACCAGCTCCTTGACCTATGAGGTTAATTGAATGACTCCCTTGTTTCTTGAGTCTTGACTCCTCTTGAGTAAGCATACTGGACAATTCACTAATATTCCTCTTATCCTTAATAGTGTTATAGTTAATTTTAAAAGGTCCATACTCAGGAGGTAACGAGTTCAGAATAAACTAAACCAAGAAGGAATCATCCACTTTCATCCTCAAGGTCTGAAGTCTTGCTGCAATGTTAGTCATCTCGATGATATGGTTTTGCATACTACACGACCCATCAAACTTCATGGTTGTGAGTTCAGCCATTAGTGTACCAGCGAGTACTTATCTGCAGAACAAAAATGTTCTTCCACAAACTTCAAGTATTCCCTGGCACTATCTGTTTGTGGAATAGTACTCTTAATGTTGTTGGCAATATTCATTCGCATAAACATAAGGCTTAGCCTGTTAGAGCGTTCCCATGCTTTATAGAAAGACTTCACATCCGCACTGCTCGAATCAGTAATGGCGGCGGGCTTATCATTCAGCAGAGCCAAGTCAAGATCCATCGCACCTAAGTGGAACTGGACTTGTTCACGCCATTCAGAGAAGTTCAATCCATTGAACACAGTAACAGACGAAGCAAGGGAATGAAAAGGAATAGCTGCAAAATAGATAATACATGCTCACAAATCAGTATGGATTCAACAAAACAGTTAAAGCATATCGCAATTCTCCTTTGGGTAAATACTATGACACACTATCATAATTTAAATGCCATTTAGTCTTTAATAGGTAATTAAATATTTTTAATCAAATATATGTGCC